CGTGGCTCGACGACGACGTCGTAACCTCCCCCCGTGCAGCCAGCACCTCACCGATGTCGTCGTGGCCAGGACTAACGGGGGACGGCGGTAGTGTCGATGGCGACGGCGCTGGAGTTGAGGCTTCCACCGCGGAGGGGCCGATTACCTCTCTGTCCGGGAGGGTCCCCAGCACACTCGTCGGGGGCAGCTGCGCGTCGCCGATCGGTCGTAATCGTACCGAAGGGGTACGGGTCCGGCCGCTGCGGCGGGGGGCATCAGGCTCATGGTCTACAGCCGCACATGCAGCGAAAGGCAACGCTCGAAGGGCGGACAGATGGAAGTCGGCCCCCTCCGGAGTGGGGTGAGAGGGTTGGGAGTCAGCATCGCCTACCTGGTCTACCTGCACAGGGTCCAACTCAGCCAGCCTTACACCCTTCAACTCCGGTCCTAAAATCTCTACCGCAGCGCCTGCAGCACACGACAGATCATCCGGAAACGAATCGTNTTCTCTACTGCAGTGCCTGCAGCACACGACAGATCATCCGGAAACGAATCGTCGACGTCGACCTCTACCGGGTTCGCCACAGGCAACCGGGACAAAGCATCGGGCACTACGTGCTCTACCCCCGCCTTCCATTCCAGTTCCATGTCGTACTCCATCAGCCGCAGCGCCCACCTGTGCAGCTTGGGGCAGAGTTCACGGCTCCGGAACAACCATGTGAGGGCAGAACAGTCTGTGACCAGTTTGAACCGTCTACCCGCTAGGTACGGCCGGAAGTGGTCTACCGCCCAGAGGACCCCCATGCATTCTCGTTCCGTGGGCCCGCGTCTAGCATCGGTTTGTGAAAACCTGTGGCTCGCGAACGNGCAAAGCATCGGGCACTTCGTGCTCTACCCCCGCCTTCCATTCCAGCTCCATGTCGTACTCCATCAGCCGCAGCGCCCACCTGTGCAGCTTGGGGCAGAGCTCACGGCTTCGGAACATTCATGTGAGGGCAGAACAGTCCGTGACCAATTTGAACCGTCTACCCGCTAGTTACGGCCGTAAGTGGTCTACCGCCCAGAGGACCCCCATGCATCCTCGTTCCGTGGGCCCGCGTCTAGCATCGGTTTGTGAAAACCGGTGGCTCGCGAACGCCACCGCTCTGGTGACACCATCGATTGTCTGCATAAGCGAAGCTCCTACACCCAGCGTGCTAGCATCCGTGTGCAGTTCGAACGGACGCTCAAGGTCAGGGAAAGCAAGGNAGAAGCCCAGCGTGCTAGCATCCGTGTGCAGTTCGAACGGACGCTCAAGGTTAGGGAAAGCGAGGACCTTCGGGGAAGCCAACGTTTCTCGTAAAGACTGGAAGGCGTCTTCCTCAGCTACGGACCACGGGATAGGAAGCTTGCGTGCACGTTTCGAAGCGAAGGCTTTGTTGCGCAGGATGTTGGTGAGCGGAGCGGCAGTCAAACTGTAGTTGGGTACAAACTGACGCAAGTAACCGGTAAGACCCAAAAACGTGCGCAGCTCTTCCACGGTGTGTGGGCGAGGCATGCGTGC